GGGACGAAGAACTTGCAGTGAGCGGGTGTTGGGTTAGGAGTTCGGCTCTGAATAAGTGATGCCTCCTTGCTGGAAAATAGGGACGGCAACAGTGTCCGTCTCAGGGTTCAGCCAGAAGGTGTCCTGCAGAGTAGCTGGCACAGAGGACGAGCAGCCTCAGCTGTTACTGGAGCAAGACAACCCTGTCACATCTTGAGGCCGGGCCCTGGCCAGGGTTGTTTCCAGAGGCAGGACCAACCTCTCCTGGACCCTGCTGGAGTGAGATTTCTGCTGCAGATATAAGCCTGAACTTGCTCCTTAACTTCCCATGGCTCCCTACTACCCTCCAGATAAAGCTTACATTCTATAACTTGACCAGCAAGGCCCTGCGCAGACAGGCTTGGCTCCTGTGGCCTCTCCCATCCTTCCTTAGGCCTCTCATTCCACCCCCCACTCACACCCCCCACTTCTGGCCACACTGAATGGTGGTCAGTTCCTTCAAAGCCCGGTGATTCCCGGTGACCCTCCTGCTAAAAACTCTATGTCATCCCCTCCTTTTCAGGCTATTTGTGCACATGATTCAGGGCCCCCCTCCCAGATGCCGCTTCTTGGAAGCCTCCCCAGGTCCCTACCACCTCTGGCTTTTCTCTTATTGCTCAGGTCTCCACTTGGTTATTACTTATCCATGTTCCCCATAAGGCTGTAAGGGGGAGCCCAATAAGTTTCTACTGAATTAATGAACGAAAGGGGGGCAGTTCTAAGAAAACGGAGGTCACAGTGACTGACCAGATGTGTGGAGAGGTGTCTATGTCAGCAGGGTAGGAATTCTCAGTAACCACAATTAAAGATGAGGTGACTGAGCTAAGGCAATCTCACTTTGCCTGACACCCCAACTCCTCAGCACCTGTGGGTAAGACCCTGTGTTGGAAGGTATGCTGGTGAAAAGCAAGAAATGTTAGGCCAGTGACTCCAGGGGACGATTAGCACTCTGAGACCTTGTACAAGGGCTTGCTCTTTTAGACCTCAGTTCTTCACACTGCCACTGAGGGGTTAAAGGAAGTAACACATGTCCAGTGTCCAGTGCAGTGTCCAGTACACAACCCAGACTCAGCCTCTGGGGCATTTACTGATTCTAATCTCTGTCTTAAGGATGGGAGGCCCAGAAAACTTCCCTGAGGTGAGATGAGGGCGGCAAGACAGAGAGTCCTGCCCCTTCTTCAGCTGCTCTGGGAGCCAGTGTTCTCATGAGAGCCTGTGGCCCTGTGGGTTCCCTAAACCCAGTCCCGGCACAAGGGAGGTGGCTGGCCAGGGCCTGCTGGATGGGGAGGTTCCAGCAGGGGCTACTGTGGCTGAGACCTCGGCAGCCGCGAGTTCTGTTCTGAGGTAGGAAGGGCCTGCTGAGGTCACCCTAGGGAAGTCTGGGAGTTTTTCTCTGGGTTCCAGTCCTCTGCCCTAGATTTATCAGTGACCAGTCCATGCCCAGCTCCCTGTCCCTCTGTAGCCCCAACTCCCTACCATGGGGTCTGGAAGGTCAGAATGAGGAATTTCCATAGGGCAGTGGTCTCCAGAGGTTAGCTCCGAAGACCACTGCCCAGCCCCCCCACCCATGCCTCGTCACCTTTACTTGACTTTCTGAGGTCTGGGGCTTCCTGGGGCAGGCATCTCATCCTTTATTTCCACAGCACCTAGCATGCTGCCTGGGATGCAGGCAATGGTTGCTCAGTGAAGCCCAAGGGAGGAAACTGAGGTTTGGGCCTACAAAACAAGACTGGTTCAAGGCTGTACAGTGGCAGGTCCCAGGTCCTCCGGACAGTCCATGGGAAAGGACAGGGTTGGGAGGACTCTGGAGACTGGGGCAATTAGCAGGGGATCATCGTATGTCAGAAATGATTGACTCAAATTATTAGGTGTGAAGAAGGAATCAGTTAGAGCGTCCCCGTGGAACTGTCCAGAAAGGGCTAGCTGGAATACCTCCTTAGCAGAACAAAGGGCTCATGGTCCCTGAGGGCTGGAACCCAGGGTGTAGACCTAGCTCTTCTCTGGCTGGTCCCAGCACAAGGGACACTGCCAACCTGACTTTGCACCTAAGAACCTTTAGGGGATATCATTCTCATCCACAGAAGGAGGCACCTGGGGATCAGCTGCCCCTCCTCACTCTGGTTCCAGGGGGTACCTTCCTTCTGAGAAAGCCTGCTTGTTGTCTCAGCAGGGACCCCGCCCCAGCACTTAACAGCGTGCCTCTACCGCTGCACTGAGGGCCTTGGGGAGCAGGGGGCTGCGGCGCCCTGAGCTCCAAGCCTGGCCGGGGTGAAGGTAAGGAAAGCTGGAGGGAGCTCTACCCGGATGGCGTGTAGGACAATGTCACAAGTGGCCTTTCTCCCAGGTGAGCTCACGGTTAACAGATAGAAGGGATGTGGTAATAGCTCCACATAAAATAATTATGTACATTTACTAACTCCTGGAAGGAATGATAGTCACGTGGCTCTCGAGGGCGGTGCTCTCAGCTTTTTAGATGGAGTTCACTCTAATCACTGAAGGCTTACTGGAGGAGGTGGGATTTCTTTTATCCTTTTTTTTTTTAATGGCTGTTGATTTTGGATCTCTCTGAACAGTGAGGATGCACTTAGCACACTCTAGGGACCAGCTAGCTCCCGAGGTGAGGTTTTCGCTGAGGAGCAAGCCCAGGGTGTCTGACCGGGTTGGGGGAAGGGCCTGGGGAGCTGGAGTTGCGAGGTCAACCTAGGCTTGGGTTCCCTGACCAGTCCTTGGGCTTTCTTGGATGACTGAACGCACCGTGGCCTCGCTAGGCTGGTGCTGCAGGGCGGCGGGCGCTGGGCGCAGGCCTTGAGGTCCGGGGCGCCGGAGAGCAGAGCGCCCCGGGGCCGGGGATTAGGCCAGCGGACTTGGCCCGGCCAGCTCGGCGATCCGCCCTCCCAGCGCAGTTCCACCGGGGTCCCGGTGCCCGGCCCTCACGGCGAGGCGCGCTCTCCTCGGGGAGCCCGGCTGCGGAGCAGGCGGCCTGCGCCGGGCTCTGTGGCACGAGAGGGCCATCTGCCTGGGTGCTGAGAACTGCAGCGTCTGCGGTGCGAGGTGCGGCCCCTCCAGGGTCGGGGTCCGCATCCCCTGCCCCGCGCGCACGCACCGACCGACGCCCGGCCGCGTTCGCGGCCAGAGTTTCGGTGCCAGGCCCAGACCCAGGCTAGGCGCGGGAGGCGGTGCAGGGATTAGTGGACCCCTCCCCCAGCGCTCCCCCTGCCCCTCCCGAGGCAGCGAGGACCCCTGGGCCCGGGGGTGGCGGGGGAAGCTTCGTCCAGGCTGGTCCCGGGCTGGGGACTCAGCCTCACCGGGCGGGGGCCGCACCTCGAGGTGCGGGCGCGCTGTCAGGCTGCAGCCCAGCTCGGGTGCGGGGGGTGGGCTTAGCGCGGGGGTCGCCTGGCTGCATCTCGCAGCCGAGGCCACGGCTGGGCGGGCAGTGCCCAGGCGGGTAACCCGACCCGACCCGGCTCCCGGTAGTCGCTCACCCCTCAAGGCTGGGCAGTGGGGAGGGAGAGGAATGGGGGGGAGGGGGAAGGGAAGGGGTGGTGGGTGAGGGGCTGTGGGGCTCGCAGGGCCGAGTCCCCGGCCTGTCTGCGCTGCTCTACCGCGGCTGCTCGCGGCGCCCAGGACAAGCCAGCCCCCTGCCTTGCGGGCGTCGGGCCTGCGGCAGGAGGGAGCCCTGGGGCTGCACAGGCTTGGCTCGGGAAGGCAGACCCGAGCTGCTGCCTCCATTTTGTTTCCTGCTCAGCTTGGTCTGTGGTGGTGGTGTGGGTTTGGGGTGCGGCCGGGCAAGGGGGTTCACCTGCGGCCGTGCCTGCTCCGGGCCTGAGGCCTCGAAGACCCCAGCCCGAGCCCCCAGGTGAGCCCCGCGGTAGGAGGGGGGGTTGCCTTGGCCTCGGGCCGAGCTTAGCGGGTTGAGGGCAGGTGCCCAGTGGATGGGGAGCCCGGGCTGTAACCTAAGATGGAGGCCGCGACTGACGCGGACCAGAGCAGGGCTGGCGGGGCGGTCGGACAGGCCTCAGCCGGGCCAGGTGCCGCCGGCGCTGGGGCTCGAGACGGGTAGGGTGTCGGTGCTGTGGGCAGTCCCGGGCCGGCGCAGGGCCCCGAAGTAGGCGAGGGGACCTGAATGCCACCCACGACGCCCGCAGGCCCCGACTCTCCAGGGAGGCGCGCGAGGCCCCTGGGGAGACCGCCTGAGGCCCCGCCCGGGCGGTCTGGCCGCCCGTAGGCCCCGGCCGCGAGCGGGCGCGCTGGGGAGGGGAGAGGGGGGCGGCGGCGGCGGCTCTGCTGATTGGGCGGCGCGCTAGCGAGCCCGACTTCACCCTCCCTGAACCCCAAAGAGTAGGCGAGGGCGCGCGCGCGCGCTCAGTGGGGGCAGGGGGCGCGCGCGCTCGGGGCCCCAGCCGCACGCGGGCGGGCGGGAGGCGCTCGTTCGCACGCGCCGCCGCCGCCGCGGGGGCGCGCGCGGTGGGGGTGTGAGGAGGAGGAGGTGGCGGCGGACTAGGCCAGGGCAGGTCGCGCTCGCAGCCTTCTCCCCTGAAGAGAGACGCGGGGGGAGGGGGGTGCGGCGAGCGGCTCCGCTCTCTCCTCACCGCTCCGCTTGCGCCCCAGTGTAATGAGGGTCACCCCCTCCCCCCAGCCGGCCCGGGAGGGGGCGCGGGGCACGGTAACTAGTGCATCGAGGTGGGCGGCGGGCGGGCACGAGGAGGAGGGAGGCGGCGGCCGGGCGGGGAAGATGGTGGTGGCCGTGAGGTGAGGGGCGCGGGGGAGGGCCGGGCGCGGCGCGGGCTCGGTGGCCGGTGGCGTCGCGGCCGCGGGCCCCCTCCCCCTTCGTCACTACCAGCCGGGCTCAGGCCTACCCGGCCGGGCTACCGCGAACTTCCTCCCGGCACGGCCCGTGCCCGGCCGGCCTCCCGCGCGCACCTCGGCCTCTGCCTCGCCTCAGGTAGCCGGCCAGGGGGCGCGGGGCCGGCGGCCCTCCCACAGTAAACTTTGCTCGCTCCTGAATATTGATGAGTGCGATCGGCGCGGCCGGGAGGTGCTGCCGCGGCTGCGAGAAGGAGCGCGGCCCGGGCCAGCGGCAGCGGCGTCGGCAGCAGCCATGTTTGTCAAGCTGTAGCAGCAGCAGCAGCAGCTGCTGTCCTGACTTGGCTTCACCGGCTGCCTCCGTTTCTCCCCCTGCGGCGTCCTATCCTTTGGGTTCTGCGGCCGAGGACCGAGGCGGCCTGCAGTCAGGATGGCGAGCCTTGGGGTGCGCCCGCTTCGGTCGACTGGCCTGCGGCCTGGGTACGGCCGCTGCAAGGGCTCCGGCGCCGGCCGGGCGCAGGCTGCAGCGCTATTGTGACCGCTGCGCCCGATCGAGCCGGGAAGGGGGGGGTAACCTTTTTGTGCAGCGTCTGGGACCCCCGTCTCGAGGCCCACTTCCTCCTCCCTTCGGGAGATCCAGCCGCTGGATCCTCAGCGAGGGAGAAGGAAGGCGATTCCTATTTGAGATGTTGGAATTTTTACTGCCAAAGGGATTTTAATTTTAGTTCAGCCCAACTGTCCACCAGTCTGCAGTGCAGGAAAAAGGGACGGGATGTTTCTATGTGGCAAGATCTGCCCTACTCCAGGAAGATGGAATTTGTGGAGGCTTACCGAGGCCATTTTTCCATCGTCAGCTGGGGAACTTTTCTGCCCCTGGAAGTGCAGCAGAAAGGCATCGAGGCCACTAGGCCTTGAGAAGTGGCTGCCATTTTGAAGATAAGAGTCAAATGGTCTATTAACTCAGATTAATTGCTGTGTTTTGGATTCCAGGTTGATGCTGGCGCAGGATGGATCAGACTTGTGAACTACCTAGAAGAAACTGTCTGCTGCCCTTTTCCAATCCAGTGAATTTAGATGCTCCTGAAGACAAGGACAGCTCTTTCGGTAATGGTCAATCCAATTTTTCTGAGCCACTTAATGGGTGTACTATGCAGTTATCGACTGCCAGTGGAACATCCCAAAATGCTTATGGACAAGATTCTCCATCTTGTTACATTCCACTGCGGAGACTACAGGATTTGGCCTCCATGATCAATGTAGAGTATTTAAATGGGTCTGCTGATGGATCAGAATCCTTTCGAGGCCCTGAAAACAGTGATTCAAGAGCTCAGTCGCCAGTTGTTTGCACTTCCTTGAGTCCTGGTGGTCCACCAGCACTTGCTATGAAACAGGAACTCTCTTGTAATAACTCCCCCGAACTCCAGGTAAAAGTAACAGAGACCGTCAAGAATGGCTTTCTGCACTTTGAGAATTTTACTTGTGTGGACGATGCAGATGTAGATTCTGAAATGGACCCAAAACAGCCAGTCACAGAGGATGAGAGTATAGAGGAGATCTTTGAGGAAACTCAGACCAATGCCACCTGCAATTATGAGCCTAAATCAGAGAATGGTGTAGACGTGGCCATGGGAAATGAACAAGACAGCACACCAGAGAGTAGAGATGGTGCAGTCAAATCGCCATTCTTGCCATTAGCTCCTCAAACTGAAACACAGAAAAATAAGCAAAGAAATGAAGTGGACGGCAGCAATGAAAAAGCAGCCCTTCTCTCAGCCCCCTTTTCTCTAGGAGATGCAAACGTTACCATAGAAGAGCAATTAAACTCAATAAATTTATCTTTTCAGGATGATCCAGACTCCAGTACCAGTACATTAGGAAACATGCTAGAATTACCTGGAACTTCATCATCATCTACTTCACAGGAATTGCCATTTGTAAGCAGTTTTTGGTACAACTTAAATATATACATAAATGTATATATACAGGCAGCTTGAAGGGAAACATAACTAATTGGTTTTTGTTTGCTTATCAGTTCACAGTCAAAAGCCTATTGCTAATGATAAGGCTTTTTGGGGAAATTTTACTTTGATTTTTAGATTTATCTCTGTTGTATGGGTTTGGTTCTTTTTAGATTTCCCCAATGAACTCTCCTTTGAGGGCTGAGAGTTAAACTTCTAAGGGCATTTGATTTAGTTCAGATTTAATCTTTCAAGGCAGAGGCATACATTTGTTTAGTGTTTTTTTGGTTTTGTTTTTTTAAGTGGCCTTTGGCTTGCTGGTATTTCGAGTTACAGGTGAATCAATTAATTGGAATCCTGTTTCCGCATAGGGCATGGCTTTTTTTTTAGTCGATGGGGCAACTCTTGCTTCAGGTTGAAGTACATTTTGTACACAATTGAAAGTAGCTGAGTTGGACTTCTTGGACATCAGTCAGATTTCCCCCTAACAAATGTCTCTGAAATACTGTGTCAAGATTTAACTGGAATTTTATAGTGTGTGGTGATTGAGTGCATTGAATAGTCACTTTACCGTGTAAATCTGCTGTTCTTTAAAGTTATAGTAGGCGAATGGGTGTGTCACTTTTGTTTCTGTTGATTGATGATATCTTAAATATGCATCAGTACTTCTTGGTTTCTCTTGGCAGTTGTGGATTTAAAGATTCTGTTTTGGTAGTGATCTTGAGTCTGTATTGTCCTGGGTAGGATTAGAGAGGACAGGTTGTGTGGGCAACCTGTTGGCAGCTTAGGCACACCCTTCTAGGGTTTATGTGGGCATTTGTCACACACACGTACACACATAGCAGGTTTGCTGTTGTGACTATTCGAAACAGCTTATTCTTGCATTGTCATTTATAAATTATTTTCCATACAAACAACTGTAAACCTTCCCCATGCCCCCACAATATAGTTTTGCTTTTGAATTTACATAAAAACCTCAGTCTAACAGTGGAGATAGATGTTCCTCTACTAGAAGCATGCACATAGAAGTAGTAATCTCATCTGGTTCTCGTCAAAGAGATATCAGTGGAGTATTGATTCTATTAAACATAATTGAAAATACTGGCGCTTATAGACAATATGTTGTGCATCTAAAATGGGAGTTAGCAAAGTTGTATAAACGTAGAATTTTTTTTAATATAGAGCTTTTTAAAAAGATTTTTATTTATTTATGAGAGGGCAAGGGAGGGAGAAAGAGCGAGAGAAACATTAACATGTGGCTGCCTCTTGGGCGCCTCCCCCACTGGGGCCTGGCCCCCGAAACCCAGGCATGTGCCCTGACTGGGAATCGAACAGGTGACCTGCTGGTTTGTAGGCGGGCGCTCAATCCACTGAGCTACACCAGCCACGGCGAATGTAGAACTTTTTTTTTTTTTAGGCAGAAAAATCTAAAATGTTCAAAGGCTCTGTGGGCTTGAAGAAACAAGTATCTTTATTTATTCTTTTAGGTCTTTGATTCAAGATTGTGGACGAAATTTATTGCTTTGATTTTTGCCTTTGATATTTTTTAACTGAAGATTTAGAAAAGTGAAGTTAATCTCAAAATGGAAATTTAGCTGAATAGTATAGCTTGGGAAAGGTATAATGAAAAACTGTGTAGCTGCACACTGTCGATGCATTTAGCCCACATGCTATTGATGTATTCAGACTATTCACAGTTGTTTCATTGATGCAGCAGCCTGTGTAGGGCACTTACTCTGGATTAGGTCCTGTGCTGAGGGCTGGAAATTTTAGAAATTCCTTAGCGAATGCTGTTTGTCATTCTCTCTGTAATATTGTGATAGAATAAGGTCCTCTTGGTGAAAGTAAGAGTAGCTATAAGGATAGTAAACCCCATGGCTGGAATTAGATAAAAGATACATAATTCAAGATCATATTGTCTGTTGTTTTCTGTATTTAGCTGTAAACAGACTGTTTGCCTTCTGTAATAAATGAACAGCCTCTTCAATTATTTTCTTCTCATACACTGATGTGAAATGATTGATAATCCTGACCTGGTGCTTTTATATTTAGCTGAGTTGATACTGTCTACTTCCTTCCAGTGTGCATAACATCATGTGCGTATACAGCTTGTGCATTGTAGGTGCTGGATGAAATCTTGAAGAAGGCTGGTCCCAGAGCTCCAAGTTTAAGCAGACAATACCTCAGTTTATTAAGCCCTTTGGTCCGTATTGTCTCATTGGGTTTCATTATACTTCATTTTTATTAAACATGGGATGTCGTAGAAGATGTAGATTAATAATTAACCTTCACGGCATTTGAGATTACTGGAGACAATACTGAAACCCTTGAAATCATGGTATTATCTCAGTACTCTTGGCTTTCTTTAGTGACTTCTGAAGGTCTCTGACACTTGTTTGGACCTGAAGTAACTCCTGGTTTTTTCATTAGGCTAATTTGCAGTGGTTGTTTTCTACTCTTTCTCACTCAGCAATTTTATGGAGAATGTATATACTATGGTGGCATTTATGAATCTGGGGATCCTTGTCGTTCTTAGGATTTAGCAAGCCCTAGGGTGGTCTGACCTACATATTTACACTGGTGATCCTCTATCTGAAGAAGAGAACCACTAAAAATGAACCCATTTAAAATGCTGACTAACAACTTATAAGTAAATAGGGAGAGAAAAGATTATTTAGGATTTTATATTGAAAAGGAGAATTCAGAATTATGAAAATAATTTTTTGAATGTTTATAAAAATTTTAGTTATGATGGCAAATATTTGTTATAAGGGAAGAATCAAATAGATTTAAAGAAAATTTTGTCCAGCCCTGGCTTGTATGGCTCAGTGGATTGAGTGCTGGCCTGCAAACTGAAAGGTTGCTGGTTCCATTCCCAGTCAGGGCACATGCTTGGGATGCTGGCCAGGTCCTCAGTTGGGGGGCATACCGGAGGCAACTGATCTATGCATCTCTTGTACATCTGTGTTTGTCTCTCTCTCTCTCTTTCTCTCTTCCTTCCCTTCTCTCTCAAAATAAATAAAATCTTAAAAAAGTTTTGTTCAGTGAAATTGTACAGAAAAGAGATGACAGACTTATTTTTCTCTACTTTCTCATCACGATCATAAGGAAGATAAATTCTTATAAAAATATTTAAGGGTTTAATCAGCTTTAGTGAGTTCTCTTTTTAAAAATGTTTGCTATGGAAAACTTTAAGCAGGTACTAAAAGTAGAGAGAATAGTAGAAATGCCTATGCACTCCCCACTCAGCTTCAAGAATTACTGACGTTCTGCCAGTCTTATTCCATCCTCCGTTTTATTGTTTACTAGCACTTCTCAATCCTCAGATACTCACCGCACTCTGGAACCTCCTGTCCTGTTACTGTCCTTGTCACTTGTTTACTGGCTGACCTAGAATTCAGGGGTGTCCAACGTTTTGGTGTCTCCGGGCCACACTGGAAGAAGAGTTGTCTTGGGCCCCACATTAAATACACAGTGAATACATAATGAAAACTGATGAGTGAAAAAAAACTTTTAAGTAAATTTATGGTTTCGTGTTGGGCATGTTCATAGCTATCCTGGGCTGTGTGCTGCCCTTGGGCTGCGGGTTGGATACCTCTGATCCTGGGTCATCTTTTCCTTGCCTGTAATTGGAGTTCTTTATCATTTGTATTAACTTTAAGAAACAGCACCTTTTTGCTAGATTTGTTTGTAGTGTCACCTTGCAGTTCATTTGCATGGTACTACTAGTTAGTGGTTCCTTAGGTGGCGATAGATACTATATTGTCTTTGGGTTGGATGTTTGAATAGACTTCCTTTTTGGCTTTTAAAAAATAGACATTTTGGTTTTTTTAACAATGTTTGTGCTGTAAAATCTTGGGAATTCAGAAAGTCATCACAGACCACCCCTGTACTAAGTTCTGTGCTATTGATGTCTAAGAGGTTAAGGAGGTGAGTATAGAGATGAAACCTAGAGCAGTCAAGGCTTTAAGGAAGAACTTGAATTCCTTTTGTCTGGGGTTGGTTTAGAAGGATACTTTGGATGTGGGGAATTAAATGAACATAGTATTTTTAGAGGGTTGTATAAATTGGAGGTAGTCAGATAATAGGGCATAGAAATCCAGACTGGCACTTGGTATTGATGTGATAGGAACTGGGGGCCAGCGAGGGATTTAAGCTGGGAAGTGATATGAAATCTGTGTTTGGAAAACTTTGGCTGGGGGAGAGTAGAGGCAAGGGTAGGATGCAGGAGTCTGTTGCAATCATAATTAAAATTCAGACTTGAGCAGAGTCAGCGATAGAAAGAAGGGATAAATCCATTAAGATTATTTGGAAGGGGGAAGATGACAGCACTTGTTTTTTTTTTTTTTCACTTAAAAAACAAAGGTTTTATTTATTTTTAAAGAGAGGGGCAAGGAGGGAGAGAGGGAAACATCACTGTGTGAGAGAAACATCCATCAGTTGCCTCTTGCCTGCCCCCAGCGGGGTGGGGAAGTGAGCCTGGCCTGCAACTCAGGCATGTGCCCTGACCTGGAATCAGCTGACAACCTTTTGGTCTATAGGCTGCTGTTCAGTCCACTGAGCAATGCCAGCCAGAGCTTGACAGCACTTTTGGGGGGGTTGCCTGGATTGGAGGAAGAGTGGAAGTTGGATTTGAGAAATGAAAGAGGGGTGGGTGCTGCCCAGGTTGGTGTGGCTCAGTGCATGGAGCTCCAGCCTGCAAACTGAAGGGTCACCAGTTCAATTCCCAGTCAGGGCACATGCCTGGGTTGTGGGCCAGGTCCCCAGTGAGGGGCACACGAGAGGCAACTGCATATTGATGTTTCTCTTTCTCTTTCTCCCTCCCTTCCCCCTTCTCTAAAAAGAGAATAAAATAAATAAAATGAGGGATGGGTGCTGATGATGTTCAAGGCTCGTCAGGTTGCTGTCTGAGCTGAAAAACTGTTCCTTAGGGGTTCTCTCATCCTAGCAATTCTTTACTCCTTCCCATTGTCTCT